TCGGACGGTTGTGGTAGCAGTTGCTCCTCAGTTGGCAGCAGCTCCTCTGGTGGGTGCTGTTCACAGCCGTGGTGGCTCCTCTGGCTGGTGAGGGGAGGCTTCACACACAGCTGCTGTTCCTCAAACACAGGGTGTACTGATCATGAGGCTGGTGTTCCTTGGATGGGGGCGGGCTACACATGCAGCTGCTACTCCTTGAACTGGGGTGGACTGCTCACGTGGCTGCTGTTCCTTGAATGGGAGCTGGCTGCACGCTGCTGTTGTTCCTTTGGTGTGGTGTGCTGCTTGTGGGGCTACTGCTCCTTGGACTTGGACAGGTTGATTGCAAGTCTGCTGCTCCTCGGATTGGGGTGGGCTGCTTGCACGGCTGCTGCTCTTTGGACGGGAGTGAGCTGCACGCGTCGCTGCTCCTCCTCTCCAGGTGTCTGCTTATGTGGCTTGCTCTCTAGCACTTTAGCCAGACAGGATAAAATTCACCTTAACAAGACATGACTCAAGGGGAACAGAGCGTGAATGTACTCATGACACTGATAACCCCTATATAAGTGACCACCTGAGAAAAGAGAGTACAAATGATATCTAAGAAAGAGAGGAAAAAAAATAAAAAGGAGAGAAAAGAAAAAGGAAAATAAATACATATATATACATGGAGAAAACACCACAGAACCAATAGATAAACGAAACAAATACAAACACCAAACACCCAGTAAAAAGGGTGGGGGCAGAATCTGTAGAGGATATATTTTCATTGTTACAAATTGAACATAATTAAAGCATAGTGATCAATCACAAAAACAATATGTAATTATACATTCAATATGTGTTTTCCGATGGTTTTAGGCAACCCCTGTGAAAGGGTCATTCAACCCCCATAGGGGTCGCGACCCCCAGGTTGAGAACCGCTGCTCTAGTACCTTTGATTCTGAAGGCACCAAAGTCTAATTCCTAAGCTTTCTAAGGTTCTTTCAAGGTTCCTGGCCGCCTTCTTTTGGGGTTTCTTATCTCCTGCTTCAGATTTTTCTCTTTCCAGGTTATTAAGTCAGTTAAGATTTCTAATTTCCAAACTACTGACTTTTGTCTACTATTAATTCATTTTGTTCTTCTGGCTTTATTCTTTTTTCTCCTTCATTAGAGAGCAGATTCAGGACAGAGAAAAGGTAAATGCTCTCTGTGTGTTCAGGTTTGTTTGTTTAAAAGTTTTATATTTAAATTACTTAGCCCAGCTGATGTTGCTCAGGGGTTGAGCATTGCCCATGTACCAAGAGTTCATCGGTTCAATTTCCAGTCAGGGCAAATGCCCAGGTTGCTGGCTTGATTCTCCAATAGGGGGAGTGCAGGAGTCAGCTGATCAATGATGTTTCTACCTCTCTAGCCCTTTTCCTTTCTCCCTAAAAATCAATACAAATATAAAAAAAAATTATTTCAAGTTTGCGACTATTGATTTAAAAAGAAATTTGTGGTCTTCATAGCATCTCATTTATGTGTGCGTGTGTGCACACCTTTTTTGGAAATTACTTTTTAAATTAGTGATCTTAAGGGATATCTATGTTGTAGGGTGATGTCTTTTACCTAGTACTTAGAGGGGTGGGTGTCACATTTTCTCCTGGTGGATTGAAGTGTTATTTTAGATGATGTACCAAATATTCCCCAAATAACGACCTGGGGGATCCTGTGCTGCCTGGTTGGGGCCATGTCTGCAAAGTAATTCTGCAGGTTTTGTAAGCTGGGCTGCTCTACAACCAGGCACGCAGTTGAAGGCCTGCCTCTTTTTGCACATCTTCATGTTATACACCTTATACATCTTCATGTTTTGTTTTTTTTTAATACCTAGAGTCCAGACCAAAACAGACAAACTTTGCATTAGGCAGATTCCCTCCTTCCTGTCTCCTTTTATTGAGGGGGTGGGAGGCTCAGTGTGTGCTTTTCTTCTGCCAAATCTACCCCAGAGTCGCCATTAAAACCGAAACCCTGTGTTTCCTTAAGCACCCCAATCTAACCCTCAGTGCATCCCCATTTTAAAATCTTAGTTTTGTTCTTAATCTTACCTTCTTTACTTGAGATCCTTGAGGATTTTCCTTATTTTTACAACTTAGTGGTGCCTTTATAGGAATACTTTTTTTTTTTAATTCCAGAGAGGAAGGGAGAGGGAGAGAGAAACATCCATGATGAGAGAGAATCATGGATCGGGTGCCTCCTGCACGCCTCCTACTGGGGATCGAGCCCACAACCTGGGCATGTGCCCTGACCGGGAATTGAACCTGGGACCCTTAAATCCAAGGGCTCTCTATCCACTGAGCCAAACTGGTCAGGGCTTAAAAGAATACATTTTTAAAACACTTCTAATACTTATGTTCCAGATATTCTAAGCATTTACAAATATAAGTTATTTAATTCTTCTTAACAATCTTGTAAGCTGATACTCTTAACCTCATTTTTACAACCTGAGGCACAGAGGTTAAGTTTACTGCCCAGGATCATACACTTAATACATTCCACATCATGGTCTGCGTGTGTGTGTGTGTGTGTGTGTGTGTGTGTGTGTGTGTTACACTGTGGCTTTGGCTGTTCAAGTGGTTTTCTTTCCAGTTAGTATCAAAAATAGTTGAAAACAATTGCTGTGTTTCAATACCCAAAAACCAACTGTTTAACATTCATTGTTTCTCACTGATGCTTTCTTTGCTTTGCTCTCCTGGGACTCTTCTCAGTAACCATTTGTACTGTGTCAGTTTGGAGCCTGTGTATACGATGAAGTCCTTAAATGAAATTTGACATTCCTACTGCCCCACTATTCCATACATCTAAAATCAAAGTATTGCAACATGGGCCCAAATACCACATTGCTAACTCCAGAATGCATACCTGACAGAAATGCATGAAATAGAGGCAAACCCTAAGGGTTCATGGTGTTTGATTAATCATTTTTTCTTTGGAAGCTAAAGGCTCTATACTCTAATGCAGGGGTGGGCAAACTTTTTGATTCGAGGGCCACAATGGGTTCTTAAACTGGACCGGAGGGCCGGAACAAAAGCATGGATGGAGTGTTTGTGTGAACTAATCTAAATTCAAAGTAAACATCATTACATAAAAGGGTACGGTCTTTTTTTTCAATAGTTTTATTCATTTCAAACGGGCCGTAGTTTGCCCACGGCTGCTTTAATGCCATGTCCCATAGTAAGATGTAGAAAGGTGGAGCAATATGCCATTGAAAAATAATAAATTGTAGAATGACAATTGAGCAGGAAGCGGGGGACTGAGTGCTGGCACATTGTCAAGTAGGTTAATTGGAGAAGAGGCTGCTTGTGCAAGATGAAAGTCTGGACATTGATTTTCATGAAGGGCTCTCTGTGATGTGTGCTTTCAAAAGTCTGATTGCTTATATCCCTCATTGCATGGATGCATGCTGCAGCAAATCCAAATTACACAGCCTCCAGCTGGAATACCATTTCTCACATGTGTACTTCAGCCTAATGCTGGACGAGTTCTTGGGGATTATCCAAAACCTAGTGTGGAGAAAGGCAGACCTCTCTCTGACACCTTGTGGCCGATTTAATTTATAATCGAATCACATTTCTAGGGCTCTTCATAGGAAACACTTGAAGTGCCTTCTTTTTTCCCTTAAATACGATAGAATCTGTTCACAATGAATGCATAAAATCCTCCTTGCATGAAAAGTCTCTGCATGTTGAAGTATTCAATCAAGCCTCAGCCTTGTAAAGCATTTGTGCGTGTTTATACATTTGATATTGACATTACTCAGCCATGTAGAGATCCCTATTCGTGAGGTTGATTGGCATATTCTTTCATACTTTACTAATGTGAATTAAATCAAACATAGAATCATTGGAAGTCAAGAAGGTTTGCTGCATTTGAACATAGTTTAAAGGGTTTATAGATGTACCTGGTACACTACTGCCATAGTACTGTGATGACTTTTCAAGAGACCACCAGAAAGCTGTTGATTAAAAAGCAAAGCTAAGTTTATTAGGCCTAAGGGCCCTAAGTAGAAAACACCCCGTTAACACAGCCTTAGTTGTGTCACAGTAGCGAGATTAGGGAGCCTTGGCTGGGTGATTTTGAGGTAGGTCTTGCAAGGTTGGTAACTCTGGGATTAGGCAATTTATGATGTCATGACTTTGGATTGGTGGATATTAGAGGGCAAGGGTTTTGAGGAATGTCTTGATGAGTAAACTTGATGATTAACAGACTTATCTTCCAGGAATCTTCTAGGTAATATTTTTCAGGTATATCCTGAAAGAAGCAGCTAAGTTATTTTTACTGGGACTCAGTGTTTAATGAAAGGACAGAAAATTACACTGGTTTTGTTAAACAAACAAAAATATTCTCATGGCTGAAAGCTTTTCTGAAAGAAAGGGTTTGTTGAGCCAAATGCCAGCCAGCAAAGGTCCAGGTCCTGGGACAGGAAGTCTAAATCACCAGCAGCAGGCCAGGTGGAGAAGACGGACCTGTCACAGTCCTGGAGGTGATGGGCGCTATGTTTTGGGAAAGACAGATACAAGTTGTTTTGAAAGAATTTACATTGGCTACAGATAAAAGGGTGGGGTGGGAAAGGTGGGGCTAGTCCCGGGGGCGTGCACAGCTGTAAGGAAGAGATGCTGACCACTTGTGATTGGTTGTGGGAAATGGTCCTGAAAGTTCATGCATTCAAATGCTATGGGGTCTGGCGGTCACTGTAGAAGTTGATGCGAATGCGAGCTGACTGTTGTGCGTTGGTCCACAGGTCCTGACTGGTTACTTTCACTCTCTTGCTCACTGTATTTTATTAGAACCTCAGAATTTTTCTCTCAGTTTCTGTTCCTAAAAGTAAGACCTGAATTAATTTACATGACTCATGGGTTTTTTCCAGCTTTGCCCGAAGTTTTTACATACCAATTCTACTAGTCACACTTGGCCATTCAGTGCAGTTGCTGAATTAATAGGTATGTAAAATTTTCATATGTAATCTATTACTTGCAATTGAAGTTTAGAAAAAGTTTTCATTGAAAAATATTGCATAAGTGTGCTTTATTAAAAAAAAATGTATCTTGAATAATAACACTATGGGTAAAAGTTACCTAGCATGACAGTTACTCAAATGGATGTCAGATTAGTCAAATTAATCAGTGTTCAACTTTCCTATACTATTGTGAAAGTATTTTAATTCACTAAGTTCATAAAGCATTTATGTTGAAAATATTTTTATTCTGATTATAAAATAACTAGATCTATAAAAAAATAGTAATATGTTTTTAATAGTTGGGAAGGATATTTTTCCCAATGATTTTTAGAGAGAGTGGAAGGGTTGGGGAGAGACAAAGAGAGAGAAACTTCAATGTGAGAGACGGGATCAAGCCTGCAACGGAGATATGTGCCCTTGTCTGGAATTTAACCCAAAGCCCTTCAGTCATAGGCCGATGCTCTAACTACTGAGCAAACCAGCTAGGTCTGGTATCATAGTTTTTTAGCAAAAGGAACACCATTTGGGGCCTGTGGTTTTCTTTTTAACTATTGAAAAGAGACACAATTTGAAGAACGCGGCAGAAGGTAAACCTTCATCTGTGCTTAGCAGAAAATGTGTCCCTTCTATATCTGCTCGAGTGCTAGCTGACACCAGCTCTTAGCTTCCCTGTGATATATGGCCTGGCTGGTCTTTGGGCAGAAGGCCTTCCCTTGATTATCTCTGTAGGAAGTGATTCCACTTGCTCTCTGAATGGAGGGCTTCAGAAAGAGTTAATTCTGTAATAGCCATGAGCGATATATAGCAGGGTACAATGTTGTAGTTTTATGTTTTTAAATCTCACAAGTTCTTAACATTTCAACTTTTTAAATGTCCTTAAAATATGTTATTCTTTTGCTTGTTAAATGATTGTTCTGAACTAGTTGCGTTTTTAAAAATGCAAACACAAAATTTCTCAAATTTTGTTTCTCAGATAATGCATACGATCCTGATGTGAATGCTAAACAAATATGGATTGACAAAACAGTGATAAATAAGCACATATGCTTAACGTTCACTGATAATGGGAATGGTATGACTTCAGATAAATTACATAAAATGCTAAGGTATGTGACAGTGTCACACTTCTTAAAATCATTGCTTTTACCTAGTTCAAGGGTTTCATGTGTTGTATTCTTGCCCATAGTTTTTGTTTTTAAGAACTCGTAGAGTGCTCTATTCTCTTAAGTTTTCCTTCATTTCTACTGTTAGGTTATTAGGCAATCCCTACCATTCTTATCATCATTCCCCGCATGTCCGACTTAATGTAGAATTCCACCATTTATAGAGCTGTAGCACATTGGTGTCAGTTATTTATACTTTAGTGTAAATTAGTTTTAACCAGTATTTCCAATGAAACTTACCACTTTGGGAGGGGACGGTAATTTTAAAGGGATCATTTAGAGGATGAGGAAGCAGCACAAAAGAGTCATGGGCTTTGGGTTCTAGGGTCACAGTATTGGATGTCAGTATGAAGCCAAATGTGCCTGAAATGGAAACGGAAATACTTAGCACAGGTGCAGGGTAGAGGGAGAATTTGGTAGTAGAGGTCTTACTGTTCCTCAAATACTCCTTATGCTGCCAAAAAGTCAAGGCCACCCCATCAGTAACCATACTACCAAGGCTTGGTGAGAACAAGAGCGTCAACCACACCTACAGGAGAGATTTCAGGGGGTGCAATTTCAAGGGCCCAGGGACCCGAATTATAACTTGGCCATTTGCCAGCATGTGCCAGGCCACACGCTCCTGTTTGGCGTGTGTGATCCTTAAACACCCCTATGATGTAGACTGCGTTTCCTTCATTTCAGAGATTGGAAAACATGCCAAGGCAGATTAGCAGTTACTTGCCCAAGATTACAGATCTAGAAAGGATGAGGCCAGCATACAAAACTAGGCTCTTTACTTATTATAGTTTTTGAATTAAAAACATGAAGATTATACATATTTATTTTTTAAATCTTTCTTTTCTTTTTAGCTTTGGCTTCAGTGACAAAGTCACCGTGAATGGTCATGTCCCAGTTGGATTGTATGGGAATGGTTTCAAGTCAGGTTCTATGCGTTTGGGTAAAGATGCAATTGTTTTTACCAAAAATGGAGAAACCATGAGTGTGGGCCTCTTGTCTCAGACCTACTTGGAAGCCATACAAGCAGAACATGTTGTTGTTCCAATAGTGGCCTTCAACCAACACCATATCCTTTGGATTTTGAAATAGAAGCGATGTAGAAACTCTGAAGAAATAATGTGAACCATTCTATCCTTTTGCCTTCCTCCATTTTCTTCCATTCTAGCTCCTATTCCTGTCCCTGCCTCTACCTTATGTCTGTGGCTAAGTGTTGTCTCCCTGTTCTCTGCGGGAATTTTGCCATGGAAGTCCTTAGCTGTTAGGCGGTTGCATTTCATGTTGAGCTTCTGTAGCCTTCCTCTTTATTTCAGTCTTACTGTGCGCTAATGAGACTTGTGGTCTGGCTTGAAAATTTCACTAATTACCATGACAAATAAGATATCTTTAGGAAAATATCCTCTGTATGACCACATTTCAAATATTGGAACCATTACATTAGTTAGGGGTGATAAACTTGCTCATACTTCATCCTGGGTATTCATTTGAAATTAGACTGCCACTTTAAAACTTAGGAAATAATTTAGGAAGTAGTTTTTCTGTTGAGTTGGTTTTCATATTGCACTTGTTGGAAAATATGTTATTGGTCTTTAACTTAGGATATACGACAGATGATTAATTTAGTGGAATCAGAGGCAAGCCTGGCTGCAATTCTGAAGCATTCTCTGTTTCCCACGGAGCAGAGTTTACTAGCAGAGCTGGATGCTATCATAGGGAAGAAGGGGACGAGGATCATCATTTGGAACCTTAGGAGGTAAGTGTAGACCACTGAAAGTTGTTAACCATCGAGGAGGTAAAGTGCACGTGCAGGAGTGATTGTCTGACATTCACCCCTGGATTGTACAGAGTAGAAGTGCATTGGAAGGGGCTTAGTGTTTGGTTCAGTTCATGATTTCTTTTCCAAGGGTGTTTTATTGAGGCCACTTTAGCTTCAATTTGGAATAGTTTCATATTAAAAATAAATTTCCTAGCCTTGAGGTTTAGTCTCTATAGCACTCTATTCTTACTGTTATTCACCCTTTCCTCAAAACAAACAAATAAATGAGACAATAGAAACCCAGCTATTAAAAGAGAAGTCTTTGTCCATTTAATCCATTACTTAAAGCTAAGCATGACTTAGCATCTGGTGAGAAAAAATATTGATGAGACTTGCGTTGCTGAAATTGTAGTTTTTTGTCCTTGTAATGAGAATAAGAACCTTTGCAAATAAAAGTTTTTAAAGGTTAGGATGAATGTGTAATATTGAGATATCTAACACATATTGAACCAGAGGAATAAAGCACAAATAATGGTGAACTAAAAATACGTTAAATCTTGTGCTTTTCTGACCTCCTGTATTCCCTTTTTTTCTTTTTTCTTACTTTTGCTTCCCTGTACCTCCCCTCGTTTTGTTTTGTTTTTTTTCATTTTAAACTTTCTTATTTTAAGATGATTGCAATTCATGTTCAATTGTAAGAATAATGACAGATCTCATTCATCACTTACCCAGTTTCCCCCAATGGGAACATCTCGCAAAACTGTAGACACTGTTATAGGCATTATACAGGATATTTTTATTGCTACAGCGGTTCCTCAAGTTGCCCTATTATGTCCACAGCCGTTCTCTCCTTCATCCTCAGCGACCTCTAATTCTCCATTTCTATAGCTTTGTCATTTCAAGCATGTTGATAAAAGGAATCATAGTGTGAAACCATTGACTTCTTTCATTCAGCATAAATCTCTGGAGATTCATCCAGGTTCTTGTGTGGCAGTAGTTTGCTTCCTTTTTCTTGCTGAGTAGTAGCCCCTGTGGAGGGAGCACAGGTGTCTAACCAGGCACCTGCTGAAGGCCATCTGGGTTGTTTACAGTTGTTGGCCATTACAGATAAGCTCTAGACCAGCGGTTCTCAACCTGTGGGTCGCGACCCTCTCACAGGGGTCGCCTAAGACCATCCTGCATATCAGATATTTACATGACGATTCATAACAGTAGCAACATGACAGTTATGAAGTAGCAACAAAAATAATTTTATGGTTGGGTCACAACATGAGGGACTGTATTTAAAGGGCCAGAAGGTTGGGAACCACTGCTCTAGACCTTCCTGGACAGATTTTTGCGGGAATATAGTCTGCGTTTTCTACAGTGAATGACCAGCAGTGTGTAATTGGCGGGTCATAGGGAGGTGCACGTTTAGTTTTTTAGGAAACGGCCAGAATGTTTTTCAAAGTAGCTCCACCATTTGACCTTCCCACTAGCAATGTGTGTGAATAAAGGTTTTATTTATTATTTCATTTTCTTAGATTCCTTTTCTTTCATTTTATTTCTTGCTCCCCCCCCCCAATAGTGCCTACTGTGTATAGAGGTGTTTTGTTTTGTTAAGTAGTAGTATTTCCTTGCTTATCTTGTTATGAAGTTAAAATTTTGTTCCTTCAAAAAATTAATTTTACAGCTATAAAAGTGCAACAGAGTTCGATTTTGAGAAGGATAAATATGACATCAGAATTCCAGAAGATTTAGATGAGATAACAGGGAAGAAAGGGTACAAGAAACAAGAGAGGATGGACCAAATTGCCCCAGAAAGCGACTATTCCCTGAGGGTATGTATCCAGGCCCCGTAGAAGTGAGAAAAGCATCAAATAGTGGAAGATATGTTGCACACTTGTTACAAATGCTACCATTGATCTCTGAATGCAATATCTCAGACATGTGCCAGCATGAGCACACTGGTGGTTTTATTTGCTTATAAATAATTTTTAATTGTGAAGTCATCAGGTCTAACAGTGTTTGTCATTCTCTCACTATGTAGTTAAATTATTTAAATTGGATATAATGGAATAAGTATCCTATCTAATAAAAGACAAAAAGGGTAATTGACCATACCTGCGCTACACTTCCCATTGGCTAATCAGAGCGATATGCAAATTAACTGCCAACCAAGATGGTGTCCGGCAGCCACGCAGCTGAAGCAAGCAGGAGGCTTGCTTGCTCCAGTGATGGAGGAAGCCAAGGTTCCCCACCTGCCGCGGCCCTGCTCTGAGCTCTGAAATCAACTAAGTTTCAATTATAGAAGCTAAACAAACCCCAGATACCTGCTTTCAGCTGGCCGTGGCCACGAAGCCGGAGAGGGCTTTTAGCTTCAGTGATGGCAACATAGTTTCAGTTATAGAAGCTAAACAAACCCCAGGATAAAAAGAAAAAAAGGAGAGGCTGGGAGCTTCAGTCGCCGGCCAGCCTGAAAACGGCCCTCAGCCCCTCACCCAGACTGGCCAGGCACCCCAGTGGGGACCCCCACCCTAGGTCACTATGACACACACTGACCACCAGGGGGCAGACGCTCAATGCAGGAGCTGTCCTCTGGTGGTCAGGGCGCTCTCACATGGGAGGAGCTCTGCTCAGCCACAAGCCAGGCTGATGGCTGCCAGTACAGCGGTGGTGGTGGGAACCTCTCCTGCCTCCTCAGCAGGGCTCAGGATGCCTGACTGCAGCTTAGGCCTGCTCCTGCTGGCAAGTGGACATCCCCCGAGGGCTGCCGGGCTGCCAGAGGGATGTCTGATTGCCATCTTAGGCCCAATCCCCTGGGGAGTGGGCCTAAGCCAGCAGGTGGTCATCCCCCGAGGGGTCCCAGACTGCGAGAGGGCACAGGACTGACTGAGGGGACCCTTCCCTCCACCCCCTCACCCCCCTGCACAAATTTTTGTACACCGGGCCTCTAGTATCCTATAATGGCCATATTGATTAATCAATCAAAAATACAAAATTCAGAGTTTCATTTTTTTAAATTTAAAATACTCTAGAATACACATCTTAAAGCAATAAATTATGTATAGACCAAAGATAATGTACATTAATATAATTTTGTGATAAATATATCTGAAAAATGATCTGAGAAATGGTTATGTTTTTGAGATTGAGGAAATTAATATCTCAGTATAACAATCCTGTATAATAAAAGCCTAATATGCAAATCGATAGACTGGCGGACCGACTGGCCACTATGACGCACACTGACCACCAGGGGGAAGACGCTCAATGCAGGAGATGCCCCCAGCCCATAGGCCTCAGCCCGGCTAAGGCGGGTGCTAGCGGGGGCCCCCTGATCGCCTCACTGGTCACCCTGCAGAGGGAGGTGACTGGCAGGGGGGGCGGAGCTGGCGAGCAGGCAGCACCAGGCCCCACCCCAGGTGGGTGCCAGAGGGAACCCCCTGATTGACCCATCGTTTGCCCCAAAGATTGGCCCTGATTGCCGGCCAGTCTTAAGGATCCTACCCGTGCATAAATTTTGTGCACTGGGCCTCTAGTATATTGATACAATAAGTTAAAGTTTCTTAGTCATTGTAATAAGATACATCAACTGTTCCCTTTATTTTTGTGCTGCAATGATTCCATAACTCCAAGCTGAAGGATCCATTGTACGTTTGTGGGGAGCCGAAACCCTATATTGGCTCCCCACAGATGTTTACAAGTTTACCATGTAGCTTTTTGTTAATTAAAAGGGCAGCTATTACTATTATTTTATATACCACAATGTGTTCCTGAAGTATCTCCTAATGGTTAAGAAAATCTTGCTAAAATATGAAGTGTCTAAAGCAGGGCTGGGCAAACTTTTTGACTCGAGGGCCACAATGGGTTCTTAAACTGGACTGGAGGGCCGGAACAAAAGCATGGACGGAGTGTTTGTGTGAACTAATATAAATTCAAAGTAGACATCATTACATAAAAGGGTACGATCTTTTTTTTTTTTAGTTTTATTCATTTCAAACGGGCCGGATCCGGCCCGCGGGTCATAGTTTGCCCACGGCTGGGATATAATCAAGTTGCCTCTTGTTTCTCCTCACTGTTAAACCTCACAAGTGAGAGTTTCACTTTGGGTTTTTCTTGTCTTTAGGGCTCTGGCATCTTGTCCAGCAGAACAGATGGTGTTGTTTTAGTGCAGTAATTCCCAAAGTGGGCGCTGCAACGATCCAGGGGGGTGGTGATGGCCACAGGTGCATCAAACTTCAATGTTTCTAATTTACACCTTTCTTTACTATATTTTACGAAAAAGGTAGAAACATTAATATATATATCTTTCTGTTTAATTGCTATTAAAATTTAAAATAATTAATTTCCAGGGGGCGCTGAGTAATATTTTTTCTGGAAAGGGGGCGGTAGGCCAAATAAGTTTGGGAACCACTGTTTTAGTGTATCACGAATACAATGTTTTAAAATATCATTAATGAATTTTATAAATGACAGAACACCACTAATTTTGAAATCAGGAGGCGGGAAAAAAGTAAGCCCTGACTGGTGTGGCTCAGTGGGAGTGGCATCCTGTGCGCTATTCCCCATCCCATTCCTGGTCCGGACACATACCTAGGTGCAGGTTTGGTCCCTAGTCGGGGAGAGTATGAGAGGCAACTGATTGGTGTCTCTCTCTCACATTGAAGTCTCTCTCTTTCTCTTTGTCCCTCTCTAAAAATCAAATTTTAAAAAGAGTAAGAAAAAGTTCAAATTTTAGTTTTACGTTGAACCTTTGGTCTGTCCTTGACTTCGTTTCTTTTGGAGATTTCTGGTACCTTGGAGGTAGACACATAAGAGCATATTTTAAACATTTTTAGGATGCAAAACTTGTCAAAGTTCTAAAATAAACTTTTATGCATTAAGAATTTAGAACGCATTTAGATGACTACTGATTGTTACATCCCACTTTATTTTTTATTTTTATTTTTTAAATATTCTTTATTGATTTCAGGGAGAGGGAGGGAGAGACAGAGAGAGATAGAAACATCAATGATGAGAATCATTGTTTGGCTGCCTCCTGAATGCCCCCTACTGCTCCCTATTGGGGGTTGAGCCCACAACCTGGGCATGTGCGCTTGACTGGAATTGAACCCATGACCCTTCAGTCTGCAGGCTGACACTCTATCCACTGAGCCAAACCAGCTGGGCTACAATTCACTTTCGAAAAAGTGCTATGCTTGTCTATTTGGTGTGTTGGTTTATTATTTACAACTAGAGGCCCAATGCACGATATTCATGCATGGGTAGGTTGCCTGGCCGGCGATCTGGGCTGATCTGTGGAGCGATCAAGGGTGGGGGAAGGCCCTGCTGGCACCTGCCTTGGCTGGCCTGGGGCCCTTGGGCTAGGGGCAGCTCCTGAGTTGAGCGTCTGCCCCCTGGTGGTCAGTTTGCATCATAGAGATTGTCATTCTGTTGTGTGGTTGATTTGCATATTAGGCTTTTATTATATCAGATTTTTCCTTTTCAAACTTGGAACTGTCCCTTTCATTATGTTTATTTTTGTCTAAATAAAACTTGTTGTTTTTAAAACTATAGCCATATATGTAGTTGACAGAAGAGTCAGAAACTGTACATGTATACATTTTTAAAAATTGATGTGAGATCATACCATACATCCTGTTTTGTAACTTTTTCACTTAACATATCAACATAGGTCAATAGATTGTTTTTCTGCAAATCATTTTTACCGGCTATAATATACTGAGTATTTTTAGTGAAAAGTATATATAGTGCGTATTATTTTACTGAAGAGTTAATGGTCCTTTAGGAAGTAAGGTGGCAGCTTCTTTTTAAATGCATGTCTAAGTCGTGTTGAACAAATCTATAGATAATTATTCCAATAAAAACATAGTGTTTGGTGTCTTTTCAGGCTTACTGCAGTATCTTATACCTAAAGCCAAGAATGCAGATCATCTTACGTGGACAGAAAGTGAAGACACAACTAGTTTCGAAGAGTCTTGCTTACATTGAACATGATGTTTATCGACCAAAATTTTTAGTATCCTTTGTTTTCCTTTTCATGATGTCGTATAGAGCTGTATTAGTTGTGTACTCCCCTACCACTTCTCCTCTTCTCCTGATACTGATTCTGACCTTGTCTAACTGTGCCCTTTTTTTTGTACTTTGGGACTCAATAATTAATGAAATAGAAAGGATGACATCAAGGGAGGAAGGTGGTGTGTTCAGAATTTTCCTTAACATTTAAGACGAAAACAGTGAAAATTACTTTTGGATTCAACTGCAAAAATAAAGAACATTATGGGATAATGATGTATCATAAAAACAGACTCATCAAAGCTTATGAAAAAGTTGGATATCAGTTAAAGGTAAGCAGGAAATGTCTTTCATAAGTTAGAATAACTTGTTATTGGGTCAGATGTGAAATTGTACACTTTTTGCCTAATGACTTTTAAACGTCAGTGTTTTAATAGCGTTGGTATGGCTTTTGAACTTAGAATACTGTGATATTAATTTCTGATTTGATCCTGAGTAATGTTATGAGGGGGACAGAATATTGTGTCTCTGTTTTACAGATGAGGAAACGGGCTAAGTAACATGCCCTAGACCTAACCATGCAGATCTTTTGATGCATTTGGATCTGGATCCCTGCTTACTTCCTGCTGGAATGAAATTGGTTGCTTTTAACTAGTGCTGACTCAGTAGCCTGAAAATCAGTCGCTGGTAGGTGTTTACTTTTTTGGAGTTAGTTCCTAAATAAAATAGAGCCTTCCTCCTAAGCCATAGCCATTGTGGAGTTCAGTTTAGGGTGATGGACATTGTCCCGTGTCGTTCTGTTTATCCTTTACCTGTTTTCACAGAAAGGTGTGTTGTTGTTTTTGGTGTGTGTGTGACTTCAGTGATCAATTCGGAAAATCATTTTTTTAAAGGTTTTAAGTCTAGACATGTTTTGTTTTCTAATTCTGTGACTTTCATTTTCAGTTTCTATTTCATTCTGAATTCTTTGTAAAATTATGTGAACTCTACATAGTATGATAGTATGGGTTTAACTTGAATGTTATTCAACGGGTGTGTCTCTGTATTACAAATTTTACACAGCAGAAGCTCAGAATTTTTATGAAAGTAAATGAATGTCGGGCTCTTTATATCCACTAAGTTTCTGAATTTTACTGGTAATTGGAAATGCATTTTTGGTAATAGGCCTTAGTTACCAAGTGCTTTGGGATTCAAAAGAAATAATTGTATTTGCCACAGAATGTAAATTCTTTTTATCATTTACCACTTACGAATTTGACTTAAGTAAGAGACATAGCCCTTTTCCCACCCAGTTAAATTTGCATATGTGTAATTTCTGATTATGCTTGACCCTGTACAAAATAAGCTTTAAAACCAACTTTTATTTTACTTTATTTCTTTTAAGAAAAATATTTTTTTAGGGAGAGGGATAGAGAGTTAGAAACATTGATTAGAGAGAAACATAAATCAGCTGCCTCCTGCACACCCCCTTCTGGGGATGTGCCTGCAACCAAGGTACATGCCCTTGACTGGAATCGAACCTGGGACCCTTTAGTCTGCAGGCTGATGCTCTATCCACTGAGCCAAACCAGTTAGGGC